GTTGTTTATTGATAAAAATGCAAAACTTCATAAAATACAAGTTGTATACAAAATATAGGAAGAAACACGTCTTCTCCTAAACTCCTGACAGTACCCTGTTAGTCTCTTGCCCACCTAGCTTCAGGGAAGGGATGGAGAACCCTGTGAGCTTTCAAATGTGGTTTACCGATGTAACTCTAGGAACCCCAGTACACCTGGTCAGTGATGAGGGATGCTGAGAACTGTAGATCAAGCACCCAAGATTTTATTATAAGCATTCACCAGAAATCAGGATTTGTATAACAGCAACATCAAAAAGGCCACAGACCTCTGGTTCCTGCTTTAGGATGGTTCCGAAAGAGATTTTGCAAACTTCCCGTGCCTTTGTTAGGGTCAGCGTCTTCCACAGGAGCACCAGATTCTATTTTTGGCATTCATACCTTACACCCCCACCCCACAAAGACAAAATGGCTTTTGAAAATGCAGTTGGATATTCATCTTTTCCAAGCAGAAGTTGATTTATGACTTATTACAGCAGGAGAACCAAGGCTTGAGCTTCACAAGTCAGTAGTAAATAAAGTTGGTTGGAAGAATGAAAATGATGGTTGATTGCTATTATAGATGTAATCATTCTGCCTTCTGCTTTCTGGACCAGCTTCAGTCATTCTTAGCCAGCACAGCTGGGGGTCACTGTGTTGGGGAGGGCTGCAAATAATATATGCAAGTTCCCTCAGCAGAACATATTTTTATGAAATTTCCAGGAGTACCAAGCAACCACCCAGCGGCTTTGGCACCTACTTCAAAAAAGCATATAGCTCGGGACTTTTAACTTGGTATTCCCTATCTTGCTACAGTCTATCAATCTTTTATTGCCTCTCCAGTACAAATGTTTATGCTAATATAAATGTAACAGGCATATTAAATAAAAAGCCACAGGGGCAGTTCTCCCTAAAACTCAAGTCAATTAATAACCATGCAATTCTCCAACATTTATAATGCATCACCATTGTGCCTATTATTCGTGAAGATGGAATTAAAATATTAAAAGCTTCATGCTGCTGCTGTCTCTGCCTACCATAAGGGGGGAAGAAACCCAATGATAGAAGGAAACAGAAGTGCTGTTCAGTTCTGCACCTAGTATAGGCAAGCTTTAAAAAATATCTGCTTCTTTTCATTCTATCATTACCTTCCCCACTTGGTCTAAAAGCACCTTTTTGCTGACCATTTATTTCAAATGAATTTGCTTCTACCAGCTCAGTTCTTCCTTCTTCATCATTGCAAGTATATGATTTCCTGTAACTCTTTTTTTTTTTTTTGGTAATCACTTTATTAAATGTTTAGACAAGAAAGATAAAAACTAATGAGAACTAATATATAAGATAAAAGAAAGAAAATAAAGAGAGAACAAAGCCAACAGTGCAGATAGAAAAGAAAGAAAAAAGAAATACGAAGAAATGACTTTCTATTTTCAGTTACAACAGTTAAAGGTAGAAATTTAAAATGAAGTCTTACTCTAGGGTTACAACAAAACTTTCATTTTTTCTATCATCTTTTTCATAATCATCAAACCCATATATCATAATTTCATTTTTTTCTGTTTCATGCAAAAAG